ATCAATTCTTCGGCACTCAGCCTTCTTTATGGTCCAGCTCTCACAGCCATACATTACTACTGGATTATTAATTATTAATGTACATGTAGTCCCCAGGTATTAGGGCTGTGTATGCTTCAAAAATAATTTGGAATTAGTGTTTCATACTTTGCCTGAGCACAGCACCTGCCTGCTATTCACTGAAGCAGCTATGACTTTTTTCAGTCTTCTGTGGGAGCCTGAAAAAAGATATTAAGTCATTTTAATGAGTCAGGTTATTACAACTGTCACGTGTTTTTCCAGGCTCACATAAGAGCCTGAAAAAAGAATGGATGCTTTAATTAGTGGCTGAAAAGTGCTATACTCATGCTTGTGTAAGATCCAAAATGCTTTCTCTGAATGATTTTTGATTTCAGGTGTCTTATAAACGATTAGCCAGTGTGTTGGAGTAGGGAGATCCTCAACCATGGAAACTGGGTAACTTTGGGCCCATAATGCTCTCTCAGCCCAACCTTCCTCAGTGTTGTGGAGAAAAACTGGAGGACACTATGCTGTATGTGTTGTCTTGAGCTCTTGAAGGAAAGGCAGGCTATATGTCTAATAAATAAAAGCTACTTGTCTTCAACACTAGAATGCACTGTAGTCAGTCAATAGGCATGAAACTGTTGAAACATGGTGTTTAGTGTATGGCTCATACAATGTTTTAAAAAAAGAAACCAGCTCTGTTCAGTTGCTTAAACCGTCACCTGTTTCCTTCTTCCACAATTATATATGCAGGACTTACTGTAATGATATAAAATTTTGAATGCCTAATGAGGGCACAGAATGTACTGTATTAATCCAAGAAAGTTTGTTCTGAAAGGTTTCCCCCTTTCAAGAATGGTTCGAGTACAACCTATCTGCCACCGAGAGCCTACTGATGATACCTCACCCCACGACAATTAATGATCTTACCCAGTGGCTGCATGTAAATGTCAAATAGGAGTGGAGCAGTACCAAATCCTGCAGCATCCCACATGCCCACACCCACCCACACACATATCATACTATACAATAATTTGGAGGGAGAAAAGTTGGCACATGGGAGTACTTGTCATTAAATGAATGTTGTATCCTAGTTCATTTATAGATCTGAGCTCAAGGAACAATGCAGAATGGGAAGCTACCCTCTGCCTTGGAAATATTTGCTAGCCTTGGCCAACTTATCTCCCATAATGTTGATTGGAAATAAGGATACTTCAACTCTATCCTCAGTCATAAAATACTTTGGGTAACTGAGAGCCACTAATACTGAACAGCATGCTTCATCTTCTCAGCATTGCTGCAAAGAGGATACAGTACTGGGGGGAAAACAAGATACTTTGCCTTCGCTCTTTCATTATGCCTTTATTAGCATAATACTTTAAAAAACTGACCTGCCTCTGCCAACTTTAAAGAAAATAAATCTCTAGTGATAGTACTGCCACTATATCTTAAGGAATACATAGTCAAGTTAAGAAGAAAGAGCTCTGATCTTAAAAGCAGCGTCTACTTTTTATACCAGGAACCATTGATGTAAAATCTGTACCCGGAGAATCTGATCATGCTGCATTGCTTTCTATGGAATATACAGGACAAAGAACAAATTCTTTTATTAAAGTGAATCCCTTTATTAACCTCCTTAATCATTTGATTATATTGCTTACAAAATGGGAAAAAAGATGCTGCATACATATCAGAGGAGCTATTGTGTTCTCATTTGACAACTCAACAGTAGTGTAGCTAACATGGTGGAAATGAATTCTTAAACTTCAACTGCTAATGCTTTTCAGAATAATTATTGCCTCAATTAGAAACAAATGAAGTATAGTTTTGGCAGCACAATTTTTAGCTATGAAGAAAAAATAGTACTATTTATAATTGAGTATTGTTAGTAAGCTTTGCTGAGAAAAAAGGAAGTGAAATTTAAAGTAAACTGCTGGGTGAATAAGATGAATCCTTGTGAATTTAACTGAATTCCAATTACATGTTGATGTCTCTGAGCAAAACTCAAACACAAAAGTTACCAACTAAAGTAGAGAAAAGGAGAACTCTTCCATGTTATAGCAATGTATTTGATGAAACACAGGGCACAACTGCAAAGTCAATTAGAAGCTCTGGCACAGTCTCACTGATTTTGTGGAGCTTAATGTGGAACAGAAGATTTAGAACTGAGCTACTAAAAACTTGTCTCTTATCATGAAAGTGTAATCTTGACTTTCAGGACTACACTAATGAAGCAAGTAATTACTATTACCAGTGATGAGGATGGAATAGTTTTTCAAGGCACAGCAAAAGTAATGAAGCAATTAAAGCTTTAGTAGCACTATTTAACAGGAACCCTTTGGGATGGGATGACATTTCTCTCACAACTGGGAAGTAGGAAACAATTTGAGAATTTAACATCTCCTTAAAACATTTAGTCTTTTGTGGGGAATGGAAGCAAAGTTACGATTGTAAGTTCTAAAGATCATTAAAGAACCAGAAAAACCAGTTTACTATATTAAAGAAATAATTTTTGCATTGGCCAACAGAAGAACCTAATTGGGCTGCAGTATTTAAAGGCAGTGATTCCATAATCACAGTTAGTGCACCTATCAGGATTCTGTAAAACTGCTTAACTATTTACAGGTGTGGCACTTATTTGTTGCTTGTGTTGCTCATTATAAGATATTCCAATATTCTACAGTTTTTTTTAATGCTGGCTATGCTGCATTCATTGACAATGAATTCAGAGTACAAGTCCTTATCTACACTTCAAATTAGGAGCTGCCTAAAAGAAATAATCAGAATCAAATAAACTATATTAACTCTATATTCTGATAAAAATGCAAGAGATTCCAAGTTTCTTGTAGCAAAAGTTAAGCATTGTCATTTTTAGACAGAGTCAGAACTGCCTGTTTCTGATGATAAACTTGTGATAAAACACTGCATTTAAAGAAATTGGACAGTGGAGACTTTCTTTAAATATTTACAATTTTTTTTCTAAGTTGTCTCACTTCCTGCACTCAATAATTCACACGTTCAGGCTAATGAATGGAACATTTGTGCCTTGGGACGATAAGACTTAAAATATTTTACAGTGAAACCTCAATTTAGCAAAGTTTGGATGTAATAGATTAAATTGCCATTGTATTTAAATAATGGTATAATTACACAGTAACAAATATAATACAAATAACATAATTCACTTCACATCACTTGTGTAATGATGTGACTGTAGATGACATAGTGTCCAATTTAACATGCAACTGAAAATAACAGACACCCTTTTCCCCCAAGTGATACATTAAATCAATGTTTCACTGTGTATGTATGGGTAACACATAACTGTAAAAGCCTTTAGTTCCTTTCAGATTTACAACTACAAGCTAAGAAAGAAAAGTACATATTAAGAATGCACCTGATTATAAATTTGGATATACACAAAACACAAACCTTGCATTAATCAGTGATTAATAATATATACGAAATCAGTGATTCCCTGGAAGTTCTATTTTTAACTTTCCATTTAAGTCTTCCATTTCCATTTAACTTGTGAAAAGCACTGCTAGATCCTCAATCTCTTAAAGAAGTATGGAATCAAACTTGCATTGATACTTGTACAACTAATATACTGCCTTCATACTAGGCATTTCTTTAAATTTTCTGGTGCACTAGCTTTGATAAATTTACAGAACCTCAAACAAATTATTCTGTTTGAATCATGTAAGCTAAATATGGTTATGAAGCAAGTTTTTCAAGACTATTTCCAAAACTGTTACTAAATTTAGTAATGAAGAAGTTTTCCTGAAGAATTAGGTTAATTTATATGTATAATGCAAGTTTTAAGAGGCAAACAAATGATTGATGACAGAAAAACTGCACAGTGTACATTCTGAATATAAGTAGGTTTCTAGGGGTTTTTGGTTCCTTGAGTTATAGCACACCTATCATTTTATAACTAGATAGAAAAAAAAAAAAATCTGCCAAGTGATAAAACTAGCCTATACCTATTCCTGTAGTCAGATTTTTAAAGAAGATAAACCATCTCTATAAAAACTAGGACAGTAGAAATAGTAAAAATAAAACACAGAAAAAAATCTTATTTAGTAAGTGAATACTTTAAATAGGAACAGTAAAGGCCCACGGGCCAAACTTTATGTAGGAAGCTATCCAAACACACTGGAAACCAAGAGTACATTGTATTTTATTCTAATAACTACAGAACAGCACTACTGGTCATCTGCTGGACACAGAATGACAAATATATAGACTAGATAGCAAACTAATACACATATTTCAAAAAAGCTTCCTCTCTTCCCAGTGGCAAACACTAAAATTAAAGTTAGGAGTACAGGTAAAGGCATTTTTTATCAAAAAGAATACTAAATTATTATGAAATCTGGAAACTGAGTCTATATTGTTCAGTCTGGGACAAAACAGTATTATGAAGATTTACTTCCCCCCTCAACCCTTAATTTATTATTTTATTAGCAATTTGTAGATTAATATGAAAAATCAGATTGCCAGAAACTGAAAGGCAATCAGATCATCCATATCATCAAGGTTAAACCAATACAAAGGGGTGTGTGTGTGTGTGTGTGTGTGTGTGTGTGTGTGTGAGAGAGAGAGAGAGAGAGAGAGAGAGAGAGAGAGCGAGCGATTCTAACTGTTCTTGGTATTTTATGCACTTGGGCAAAAAACATGTTTATCAATTTTACCCAGACAGTTGAAATGTCTACCATGAATATGTAATTAAATAGAACATCTAAAATAAAAGCTTTACAATATATTGGATATTTAAAAAATAAACTAATGTTTTCTGCTTTTCTTTGTATTAAATATTTCCAATATAGATATATTGATATATATCAATATCAATTCCATAGAAAATTAATATATATATATTAATCAATATATATATATATATATATTGATATATATCAATATATATATCAATATCAATTCCATAGAAAATTAATATATATATATTAATCAATATATATATATATATATATTGATATATATCAATATATATATCAATATCAATTCCATAGAAAATTAAGGTGTTTGGCAGTTTTCTAAACAACTATTTAACTTTTTCCTTCTGCTTTACAAGAACATTTTTATATGAATGTCATTTGGCTGTACATAAGCTGGTCTAAGGGGAAAGGGCCAATCTTACAAGATAAAGTTCAAAGCCTCAAAGCAGAAGCAAGCTGCAATTCAATAAATAAATTCTCCAGGTATTTCTTGTAGTAATGGTTCCTCAAATTTAAATCGCTTTGAAATAGTTTTCTGTTCAACAATTTTATCTTTTTCTGTTTGCCTACATTGACCCAGTGTATATGAAGCTACTAAAATGAGCTCTTCTGTTACTGTTTCTTCTGTTTTTTCTCCATCTGTAGAATTTTCAGAAGTAGAGTCTTCATTTATAATAATGGTATTTGTTTCGTCTTCTGTGTTTTTAATCCAGCATATTGTATCAGAAATATCAGTTTGTGCCAGCCAAGAATGCAGCAAGCATTCTTCTGCTGTTGCCCGTTCCCTAGACAGAAAAGAGAGAAATTGACTTAAGGAATCTGGCCAGAAAATTTTAAGGCTTAAAATCACATTAAAATCTAGTTCACATTATTTTAAAAACTGCTTTGTACTTTAAATTATACACTAAATTAGGTTGCACTGGGCATATAATCAGAGGCAAGTTCAAATATATATTAATACTACCTACACCTTGCAAATGAAATAATTTCCACGAAATTCTTTCACAATAACTTTTACACTATCACTATTACAGTATTTGTATGTCGTATTTAATGGGTATATAGCTCTCAAAAGGAATTTATACCTTAGAATCCCCAAAGTGATCCCATAATATCACTCCAATGCACAATAATTGACAAAAATGAAAACATCCTTGATTATTATTGAGAGGCGCTTTTTAACAAGATGGGCAGTGACAAATTTTATATATAAATAAAAACAAATAAATAAAAATTATCTTTTATACACAAAGTAGTCTGAAGTCTATGTAATGCTGTAGGACAGCTCAAAACAGCTTCTATGCAGCAACTATTCCATGCAGAATGTATTTTTATGTGGGAAAGCTGATGCAAGTTAGCCAAAAGAACAGCTGTATATGGCAACAGCCAGTTCATATATGGAACAATTGTATACAAATCACAACTAAATACAATTTAGTAGCCACATTATGACAGTTATGTTATATGGGTCAACAGGATGATCAGTTTGGAGAAAACGGCTCTTTGGGATCCTGTTAGTTTTGGGAGTGTTTTCAACTTCACATGAGCCATGTTTTCCAGATGTTGAGACACAACCAATTTCAAGTAGTTGAATTCTTTTTTTAAAAACCTGCATTTTCATCAGAGCTCATTTTTTGTTTTAGGATGGAGTGATCAGATTATATCATAGTAGCCCTGAACATTAACCTGTGAAATTCCCTCCAGACAAGTTAAATTATTTATATTAAAATCATACCTATAGTTTGATATTTCCAGTTTAATCTTCAGAATCAGTCAAGTCTAGCTAAACCAATGCTAATCCAAAATCATATAAGATGGCATTGTGAAATATATTATGAAATCAGGAGTAATATAACTTAAATAATCATTTACGTTTACAATTTTTATTTTTGATTTGCATAGTTTAATACTCATGAAGCAAAATAATTAAATACATCTTACTCGGGTTTTTTAACCAAAAGAGATTTGATGAAATCCACAGCAGATTCAGATACAAGATCAAAATCTTCAGAGTAATTTACATTCATCTGAGATATATTTAAGAATGTTTCCTGTTTATCATTCCCCAAGAAAGGTGATACTCCAGTCAGCATGACATATGTTAACACTCCAATGCTCCTAAATAGAAAAACAAAATAAAAATGTTTAAGCTTCATAAGAGAAAAGTATGTGGTTTTGAGTTAACATTTCAATAACATTTTTCTTACCACATATCTGTTGCAGTGCTGATTGGATCATAACTTAGAATTTCTGGAGCTATTAGGAAAAAAAAATACAGTAAGTTGCAAAAGAGTCAACACTGAGATGGCAAAGAGATCATGGTTTGCACTTCTTTTGACAACTGCGACCAAGTTGGGAGACACAAATTCTTCAGCCCTTGCAGCTGAGAACTGAAGCACTATAATATTGTGAAAGGGCTAACGGGAATAGAAAAATTCCATTTGGTGGTATGGTGTGACACATACTAATGAAATTTTATTTACAGTCATAGGCCAAAATTCTATACAAAACTTCAAACATGTAAATAAATCTTGAATATTAAAAAGAGGCTAATTGTCTTCTGGAAACAATGTATCAGAACCTAATTATTTCCTTATTGTGATCATGACTGAACAGTAATTTACCACCTTTTTTGAGATTTCTAAGTAATGATATGGTGTGGGACATAGTGTGTTAAGGAAAGTTTCCAAAAATTCAGTTTCTACGAATGGACCCTAGTGAAGGTCCCATCATTTGACTTTGCACAATTCCCCTTCCCTATAGCTTACTTTATAAAGCAGGTAGGCTGCTTTCAATCTTCTGCATACCATTTTCACAGAACTAGAGCAACTATCCTGAGAAAAAGGTGACTGGAAAATCTGCTTTACCAGCCCAGCTGCAAGAACCTAAAATGAAATCCAGTCCAATCAATGTAATCTCTAGAAAACTTTCTAACAGAAGTATTGGAAGTTAACAACTAGTCAATGTAGCTTATGCACACTCATACAGCTGACATTTTATTTGTTCTTCTGAATTTCTGTTGCAACTTAATAACCAAAACTGGTTATTGTAAGATCTTAAACATTCAAATCTTGGATTCTGACTAATATTACATAACCCAAATGTTTGCATTATATGCTGTAGGCTACTTGCCCTGAACATCATGTAAATAACAAGCATACCAACATATTCAGGTGTTCCCATAATTTCTCTTAGTTCTTCACTATTTTTCATTACTCTGGAAAGTCCAAAGTCAACTATCCGAATGTCTCCCAATGGCGATTCACAAGTTAGCAAAATGTTTTGTGGCTGAAAAGATAAAAGGAAATAAGGTTACTGGAAAATAGTTCAGCCATTAAAAACTGCACAATAATCTTAATTGCTTAAGAGTCATGTGCATTTTTCTGCAGCAAATAGCTAGAAATGTTTTGACAAACAAGTATACAGGTGAAACTCGAAAAATTAGAATATCGTGCAAATGTTCATTTATGTCAGTAAGGCAACTCAAAAGGTGAAACCAATATATGAGATAGACGCATTACATGCAAAGCGAGATATGTCAAGCCTTACTTTGGTATAATTGTGATGATTATGGCGTACAGCTTATGAAAACCCCAAATTCACAATCTTACATGACATCAATAACACAAGGATTGGAAATAGAACAATATCAGACCTCTGCAAAGTATAAGCATACATATGTACTCAATACTTGGTTTGGGCCCCTTTTGTAGCAGTGACTGCCGCAATGCGGCATGGCATGGAT